TCGATACTTCCTCCAAAAAAAAATATGTAAGCCTTTTTTTATTTATTTTTTTATTATTTTACTTTTTCTGTTGATATGGTGTTGTATGGGGTACCGAATATCACCATAAAATTATCTAATGACTGAATTTGCGTAATGTAAAATATATATATATTCTCTACGGACAATTTGAATATGCGAGAATATACACTGAATAAATATCTCTCTTATATAACATGTATGTATATATGAAGAATATCGAGAAAGAAAAGTCTAAGTGATGTGTAATAATAGATGAGGAGGAGGAGAGAAGGAGAGAGAGGGAAGGAGGAAGGAGGAAGAGAGTGTTGCTTCGTCATCATCTCCTCCTCTTTACCTCTCACTCACTCTACCCCCTCCTGTTTCCCCCACCTCTCCCCTCTCCCCTCCCCCCCCTCTCCCCTTTAGTCACCTTCGACGTCAATAGGTTTTTCTTCTATTCCCCCATGTGAGACATGAATGGCGAACCTTGGCTGTATATGTTGCCATGCCATACCCCTCCCTCCCTCCCCTCCCTCCCTCCCTCCTCCCTCCCTCCCTCTCTCTCCTCCCCTCCCTCCTCTCTCTCCCTCCCTCTCCCTCCCTCCCTCTCTCCTCTCTCCTTCCCTCCCTCCCTCCTCCCTCCTCCCCTCCTCCCTCCCTCCTCACCTCCCTCCCTCCCTCTCTCCCCCTCCACCTCCCTTCTCTGGGCTGGGATGTGTGGGGAGGGAGGGAGGGAAGGAGGGAGGAGGAGATGACGTTAATAATACAGTGTTATGAAAGTTCTTTACAGTTCTCTGGTTTTCTCCTCCTCCCTCCTTAACACCTTGAGCCCGGAGGTAGGGAGGAGGAGGGAGGAAGAGGGAGGAAGGAAGGAAGGAGGAGGAAAGGAGGAGGAGGAGGAGGAGGAAGACAGGGGAATGTGTAGAGGGAAGGGAGGAGGACTTTGTTTGTATTGATGGCTCTACTCCTCCTCCCTCTTTTCTCTCTTCACTTCTGCCTTCGCTCCCTTCTTCTTCTCCCTTCCTTATTTCTCTTCCATTTCCTCCATCTCCTTCTCCCCTCTCCCCATCACTCACCTCGGATCCCTGAATTCTTCCTCCTCAGTTCCTCTCAACCTCCTCCCCAGTTCCTCCCACCTCCCAACCTCCTCCCCCACCTTCTCCCCACCTTCCCTTCTCCCACCATCTCCCAACTTCTCCTCCTTATATTGGAATTTATAGCTTGAAAAAAATACTTTGTTTTTCGTTGCATATTTTTTAGTTTTTCTCTTGAATAAATTTCTCAGTGTAGTTTGCATATATTTATGTTTAGGTTAGTTTCTTCACACACACACACACACACACACACACACACACACACACACACACACACACACACACACACACAGATAGAGAAAGTCACAATATTCTCGTCAGTATAACTTCGTCTGTCCGAATCTCCTTCTTCTTCCTCCTCCTCCTCCTCCTCCTCCTCTTCCCCCCCTCTCCTCCTCCTCTCCTCCTCCTCCCCTCCTCCTCCTCCTCCTGCGGCTGTATAGTGGGAAGGAGTGATCTCTGTCTATCTATCTATCTATCTATCCTATCTATCTATCTATCTATCTGTTGCTAAGTGAGATCAATCCTAAATCTCTCCTTTCTATCGTTATCTCCCGTTGTGACTAGGTTAGGTTAATTCAGTCAGGTTAGGTTCTGAGTCCAGGTTAGAGTTGAGTTCGGTCAATCCAAGGTTATGAGTTGGGTTGGAGTTGGTTTAGGTTAAGGTTAGGTTAGGTTAGGTTCGGTCAGTTTAGGTTCAGGTGAGATCAGGTTGATTGGGTTAGGTTATGTTAGGTGAGTTAGGTTAGTTTAGGTTAGGTTAAGGTTAGGTTCGGAAATTACATATCGAAAAAAATTAACATCAACAAGTAATTTGAGTTTGTTAATCTTTTAGCATTACAGAACAGAGCTAAGTTAACACCAGAAGTAATCAGATTATAAATTGGATTACAGTAGAGGAAACAACAATCACGATTACAAAGCCTAGCTCCCAATTTACAAGTTTTATTAAATAGCGGCTGTGGGTGTGTGGTGTGTGTGTGTGTGTGTGTGTGTGTGTGTGTGTGTGTGTACAGTATGTGTGTGTGTGTGTGTGTGTGTGTGTGTGTGTGTGTGTGTGTGTGTGTGTGTGTGTGTGTGTGTGTGTGTGTGTGTGTGTGTGTGTGTGTGTGTGTGTGTGAGGTGTGTGTGTGTGTGTGTGTGTGTGTGTGTGTGTGTGTGTGTGTGTGTGTGTGTGTGTGTGTGTGTGTGTGTGTGGGCTGTAACTATCGCCGTATCCCCCCTCACGTATGTATACAGGTATGGGCAGGTATACATTACTCATATACGTATACATAGAACATGGACACATAAGTCTCATCCCCACACACACACACACACACACACACACACACACACACACACACACACACACATCTCCAGGAACCATCTAGGCCATCTTGTACGTGATGTCGAGGATCAGTCAAAATAAGTATAATAAAATGCAAATTCCCGCTGTGAGATGCTGTGTGCTGTGGCGTGAGAGCAGGTGGGAAAGAGGATGTGCTGAGCCGCTCTGATGCTGTTTAAATCTTTCCTGGTGTTGTGTTTGGGTTATAGTGCTGTGTTGTGGCTCTATTGCTGTGTTTAGGTTCTCTGGTGCTGTGTTGTGGCTCCTATTGCTGTGTTTAGGGTCTCTGGTGCTGTGTTGTGGCTCTATTGCTGTGTTTAGGGTCTCTGGTGCTGTGTTGGGGCTCTATTGCTGTGTTTGGTTCTCTGGTGCTGTGTGGCTCTCTTGCTGTGTTTAGGTTCTCTGGTGCTGTGTTGTGGCTCTATTGCTGTGTTAGGGTCTCTGGTGCTGTGTTGTCTCTATTGCTGTGTTTAGGGTCTCTGGTGCTGTGTTGTGGCTCTTTGCTGTGTTTAGGGTCTCTGGTGCTGTGTTGTGGCTCTATTGCTGTGTTTAGGGTCTCTGGTGCTGTGTTGTGGCTCTATTGCTGTGTTTAGGGTCTCTGGTGCTGTGTTGTGGCTCTATTGCTGTGTTTAGGGTCTCTGGTGATGTGTTGTGGCTCTATTGCTGTGTTTAGGGTCTCTGGTGCTGTGTTGTGGCTCTATTGCTGTGTTTAGGGTCTCTGGTGCTGTGTTGTGGCTCTTTGCTGTGTTTAGGGTCTCTGGTGCTGTGTTGTGGCTCTATTGCTGTGTTTAGGGTCTCTGGTGCTGTGTTGGAAGCTCTCTTGCTGTGTTTGAGTTCTCTGGTGCTGTGTTGTGGCTCTCTTGCTGTGTTTAGGTTCCCTGGTGCTGTGTTGTGGCTCTCTTGCTGTGTTTAGGTTCTCTTGGTGCTGTGTTGTGGCTCTATTGCTGTGTTTAGGTTCTCTGGTGCTGTGTTGTGGCTCTATTGCTGTGTTGGGTTCTCTGGTGCTGTGTTGTGGCTCTCTTGCTATGTTTAGGATTTCTCTGGTGCTGTGTTGTGGCTCTATTGCTGTGTTTTGTTCCTCTGGTGCTGTGTTGGCTCTATTGCTGTGTTTTGGTTCTCTGGTGCTGTGTTGTGGCTCTCTATTGCTGTGTTTTAGTTCTCTGGTGCTGTGTTGTGGCTCTATTGCTGTGTTTTGGTTCTCTGGTGCTGTGTTGTGGCTCTATTGCTGTGTTTAGGTTCTCTGGTGCTGTGTTGTGGCTCTCTTGCTGTGTTTAGGTTCTCTGGTGCTGTGTTTGTGGCTCTCTTGCTGTGTTTAGGTTCTCTGGTGCTGTGTTGTGGCTCTATTGCTGTGTTTTGGTTCTCTGGTGCTGTGTTGTGGCTCTATTGTGTGTTTTGGTTCTCTGGTGCTGTGTTGTGGCTCTGTTGCTGTGTTTGGTTCTCTGGTGCTGTGTTGGCTCTATTGCTGTGTTTAGGTTCTCTGGTGCTGTGTTGTGGCTCTCTTGCTGTGTTTAGGTTCTCTGGTGCTGTGTTGTGGCTCTCTTGCTGTGTTTAGGTTCTCTGGTGCTGTGTTGTGGCTCTCTTGCTGTGTTTAGGTTCTCTGGTGCTGTGTTGTGGCTCTATTGCTGTGTTTTGGTTCTCTGGTGCTGTGTTGTGGCTCTCTTGCTGTGTTTAGGTTCTCTGGTGCTGTGCTGTGGCTCCCAGATGCTGTGTTGAGCTGTGTTGTATACTTGGTAAAGCGTGTATGAGCGTCATCACCTCGTGTTTATATCTATACGTGGGAGGTGTATAATTATGAATACACTCACATATAATACTTGTATGCAACTATACATGCATACATACTAAACGATGGGTGTGTGTATGTCTTTATGTATGAATTCATGGGAGTATGCATATGTATCTACTCACTCATACTTAAAAATATACATATATATAAAAACTTGTATTATAAGTTCTCTTGGAAATGAGATATTGGAATCGAACAATGAGAACCGAACACTAGGAATGGGAATCAGGGAACTGGAATGATAAATGGGAATCAAGGGAAATGAGAATCCAACCGTAGGAATGGGAATGAGGGAAAATGGAGGTATCATGCAGTGGGGAAGTGTCAACAACAGGGAGGGAGGGGGAGGAAGGGAGGGAGGGGGAGGGAGGAGATGGTACAAGTGACTTTACCTGCCCTGATGTGTTGTGGAGGGAGTCAATAGAGGCCTCACCCAGCACCCAGGGTTGAAGTTTTAAGCTGGGAGAAAGTGTTCAGCGATGGTGTTTAATTACTTGCCCTGGGGCCCTTCTAACTCTCTCTCTCTCCTCTCTCTCTCTCTCTCTCTCCTTGATGTTTTGGGGTGAGGTTGTGTGTGGGGAATGGGTGGGGTGGTGTTGTGGAGAATGGGTGGGAGAAGTGGATGGGTAGGGGGATGGGTGGGGGAGTGTGTGTGTGTTGAATGACTTGTAAATCAGCCCTAATTTACAACAGGTTATTTACACTTATAAATTCTTCACAATAATAATCACCATCAATTCTCACCATCATCTATTAGAGATTTTTATTTTCATTATTTTTTTTTACACCACTGTTATTTACATCCTTAAATATCCTGTTAATCACAATCTAGGTATCAAAATAATCCCTGTTAGTGATTTACAGCATTACACTCATAAATTACGGTGATTTATTTTGTTGTTCTGGGTTTTCATATGGCGGTATATGATTAAATTCTGACGTATTAGTTTATACATTAAGTTGTAATATATTTTAAGTTATTTATTTACGAGCGACATATTAGTGTAGGTCATGGGGTGGGCGTGTGTGTGTGTGTGTGTGTTTTAGTATGTATGTATGTATGTATGTATGTATGTATGTAGGTAAGTAGGTAGGTAGGTAGGTAGTGTTATGTATGTATGTATGTATGTGTGCATGTATGTATGTATGTATGTATGTATGTATGCATGTTTTCTCTGTGTATGTTTCCGTCTCACTTGTTTTGTTTCTCCTCTCTCCCCCCTCTCTCTCTCTCTCCTTTTGATGTTTTGGAGTGAGGGATTGTGTGTGGGGAATGGGTGGGGAAATTGGATGGGTAGGGGGATGGGTGGGGAGGTGTGTGTGTGTTGAATGACTTGTAAATCAGCCCCTAATTTACAACAGGTTATTTACATCTTATAAATTCTTCACAAGTAATAATCACCATCAATTCTCACCATCATCTATTAGAGATTTTTATTTTCATTATTTTTTTTTTACACCACTGTTATTTACATCCCTTAAATATACTGTAAATCACAATCTAGGCATCAAAATAATCCCCTGTTAGTGATTTACGGCATTACACTCATAAATTACGGTGATTTATTTTGTTCTGGGTTTTCATATGGCGGTATATGATTAAATTCTGACGTATTAGTTTATACATTAAGTTGTAATTTATTTTAAGTTATTTATTTACGAGCGACATATTAGTGTAGGTCATGGGGTGGGCGTGTGTGTGTGTGTGTGTGTTTTAGTATCTATGTATGTATGTATATATATAATGTAGGTGTGTTATGTATGTATGTTGGTATGTATGTATGTATGTATGTATGTATGTATGTATGCATGTTTTCTCTGTGTATGTTTCCGTCTACTTGTTTTGTTTCTCTCTCTCTCTCTCTCTCCCTCTCTCTCCCTCTCCCTTTCTTCCTCCCCAGACAGTATCTCCCAGCGCTGAGGTTATGATAACAGATTAAGGGTTTCACTGTGAGTCTCGCCCCAACACGTCATCTACCAACATCCCCAACACCTCTCAACACCACCAACATCCCAACACCACCATCTCCAACACCACCAACATCTCCAACACACAACATCTCCAACACCACCAACATCTCCAACACCACCAACATCTCAACACCACCCATCTCCAACACCACCAACATCCCCAACACCACCAACATCCCCAACACCACCAACATCTCAACACCACCACATCCACATACCAACATCCCCAACACCACCAACATCCCAACACCACCAACATCCCCAACACCACCAACATCCCCAACCCACCAACATCCCCAACACCACCCAACATCTACACCCAACACTCCCCAACACCCACCAACATCCCCAACACCACCAACATCTCCAACACCACCACATCCCCATCACCAACATCCCCAACACCACAACATCCCCAACACCACCAACATCCCCAACACCACCAACATCCCCAACATCCCCAACACCACCAACATCCCCAACACACCAACATCCCCAACACCACCACATCCCAACACCACCAACATCCCCAACACCACCAACATCCCCAACACCACCAACATCTCAACACCACCACATCCCCCATCACCAACATCCCCAACACCACCAACATATCCAACACCACCAACATCCCCAACACCACCAACATCCTCCAACATCCCCAACACCACCAACATCTCCAACACCACCACATCCCCCAACACCATATTCCCCATTACCACCCACATCCCCATCACCACCACATCCCCATCACCACCACATCTCAACACCACCAACATCCCCAACACCACACATCTCAACACCACCAACATCCCCAACACCACCAACATCTCTAACACCACCAACATCTCCAACACCACCAACATCCCCAACACCACCAACATCTCTAACACCACCAACATCTCAACACCCCAACATCCCCAACACCACCAACATCTCAACACCACCAACATCTCTAACACCACCAACATCTCCAACACCACCAACATCTCCAACACCACCAACATCCCCATCACCACACATCTCCAACACCATCATCTCCCACCAACATCCCCAACACCACCAACATCTCCAACACCACCAACATCCCATCACCACCCACATCCCCATCACCACCACATCACCCATCACCACCACATCTCCAGCACCACCACAACCTCCTCACTGTTCTGTACCCAGCTGGAGACAAAATACCCACGTAAAAGCAAATGCTAGTCTACAGCATTTATGCGTTAGTGGAGTGCTTGTGCGGTAATTCCTCCGCTCTAGCATTTATACATTAGGTTTAGTGTGAGACCTTTACGATACAGCATTTTCTACAGCATTATTTGGTGAGAATTAGGTTGTAGAATTATGTAGAATTTTGGGTATTTTGTTTAGTTTTGTATTTTAGAATTTTTCTGTAATATAATTTTTTTAGGGGTGGGTATTTTTAGTAAAACATTTATATATATATATCTTTTGTGAGAATTTTAAGTTTACGAAAAATTTTTTTTTACTAGGAGAAAATTTGGGAATTTTTGTGTGAGGATAAGAAAAAAGGTATAAGAGGAGAGAGAGAGAGAGAGAGGGGCAAAGGGAAGAAAAAATACAGAGAAAGTCACAACAGACAAAGCGACAAAACTAAAAAAAGAGAAGAGATGGCAAAGGGCGAAAATATACAGAGAAAGAAAGAAAAACTGAAAGAAAAAAAGAGACAAAGAAGAAAGAAAAGAAAGCAAAAGAAAAACTCCCAAAAAAGAGATTAAAGCTGGCTCCACCCCTTCATCAATAAGCCAAGCTCCTAAAGACTTCATTAAGAAACAGTAAAGAAGAAAAAAAAAACATTTATAACACGAAGCTTTAACACGTGAGGTACAAGTCTTAACACGTGAGGTACAAGTCTTGACCTTTTATACACCTTTATACACCTTTATACGCCTTTATACGCCTTTATACGCCTTTTATACACCTTTATACGCCTTTACACACCTTTTACACACCTTTTACACACCTTTATACACCTGGCCAAATTCTCCAACGCTTCTCGGACCGTATTATTTTCTCTCAAGTCCTTATATTTAATTTAGAAGCCAGAGTGAAAGGTTGAATACAGGTACAGGCGCAGGTGGGTTACAGGTACAGGCGCAGGTACAGGTTACAGGTACAGGCGCAGGTACAGGTTACAGGTACAGGCGCAGGTACAGGTTACAGGTGGGCGCGGGTACAGATACGGAATGCTGGTACAGGTACAGGTTACAGGTACAGGCGCAGGTACAGGTTACAGGTACAGGCGCAGGTACAGGTACGGCTGGTACAGGTACAGGTTACAGGTACAGGCGCAGGTACGGGTTACAGGTACAGGCGCAGGTACAGGTACAGGTGCTGGTACGGTACAGGTTACGGGTACAGGCGCAGGTACAGGTTACAGGTAGGCGCAGGTACAGGTACAGGTGCTGGTACAGGTACAGGTTACAGGTACAGGCGCAGGTACAGGTTACAGGTACAGGCGCAGGTACGGAGTTACAGGTACAGGCGCAGGTACAGGTTACAGGTACAGGCGCAGGTACAGGTTACAGGTACAGGCGCAGGTACAGGTTACAGGTACAGGCGCAGGTACAGGTACAGGCACAGGCACAGGTACGGGTTGGTACAGGCGCAGGTACAGGTTACAGGTACAGGCGCAGGTACAGGCTACAGGTGCTGGTACAGGTACAGGTTCTGGTACAGGCGCAATACAGGTGCGGGTGCTGGTACAGGTACAGGTACAGGTACAGGCGCAGGTACAGGTACAGGCGCAGGTGCAGGTTACAGGTACAGGCGCAGGTACAGGTTACAGGTACGGTACAGGCGCAGGTACAGGTACAAGCACAGGTACAGATACAAGCACAGGTACAGGTTGGTACAGGCGCCGGTACAGGTACAGGTACAGGCGCAGGTACAGGTACAGGCACAGGCGCAGGTACGGTACAAGCACAGGTACAGATACAAACACAGGTACAGATACAAGCACAGGTACAGATACAAGCACAGGTACAGTTACAAACACAGGTACAGATACAAAGCACAGGTACAGGTACAAACACAGGTACAGTTACAAACACAGGTACAGATACAAGCACAGGTACAGATACAAGCACGGGTACAGTTACAAACACAGGTACAGGTACAAGCAC